TGTTATAAGGAAGACTAATTAAAGCCATACAAAAATAAGTCATAAATGTTAATCCCTCTTTGTTTTAAAATCTCTTATAAATACCAATAAAGTAAACAATCAACTAAAATACCCAACAAAATAAAAAAATAAAAAAAAATTTATTTGAGAAATCCAAACCATTTCGGAAAATTTTGTTTTATGTTTTTTATTTGTTGGCGGTAACCGTTAAAGTGAGAAGATTAACTAAAAACGATATATTACCAATAACTAAAAAGCCGAAATAAATAATACTTGAAAAAAAAAAATACGAACTATCATTGAAAAAAAAAAAAAAAAAAAAAAAAAAAATGAGCGTGTTTGGGTGTGGTACCACCCAGTGGGAAGATGTCGAGCGTAGCTGATAAGCATCTTGAGCTTACTACCACCCTCCGAGCAAGGCAGCGTGCATCTCAACGGTCATCGCATCACCACTGTCTGAGCTTCCAATTGGTTGGCGCCCACATTTCTCCTCCATATCTTTCAATATAGCCATGGCCTTGGCCCACCTCCCCGAACACTTCATCCTATGCCGCACCACCAGCACCGCCGCCGCACACACAGCTGCCGCACATATGACCGTCGCCCCAACCGCCACTTTCCCCATGACTACTCACAGAAATACAAAAAAACTAAAGAAATTTGACTTCTTCGGCTCTTTGCTCCCACCTAGACTCAAAGTGATCGACTTTGATTAAATTTAAAGATTGTTTTTGTTACAAACTTAGAGAAAACCCTAGATCGAGCTGAAAATTGGAGCTAAAACATAGAAGAGAATTTAACAAAATACTTTTAAAAATAATAATAGTAAATAAAATTTCTGTAGTTTGGTTTTTGTCTCGTTTTATGTAAGAGAGAGAGACATTTATTAGTTGCAACTGATCAAATAAATCTTCTTGGATTTATATTAAAAAAAAAAAAAAAATGTAATGTTCAGTTGTTCACAAAAGGGTCACTATCTTAGTTAAATTACGATAATGACCTGTCACGTGTCAAATATTTTATCTTATTATTATATTATGAGTAAACAACATTTTCCCACCCAAGGTTTGGTGAACTTTCTGTGCCCACCCCTGGTTTCATAAATTACAGATTCTCACCCTTAAATTAACATATAACTGTTTAATCTAACAGGGTACGATGGTCATTTCAAAGATGAAAATTTTAAAATAACCCTTCACTTCTCTAATTCATCCCATCGACGATTTCAGGTCATTTAGACCTGTTTTCGGCATAATCGACCCCTCATGACACCACTATTACAATTCCCTCAACCCCCACATCAAAACCTCTAACCTCCTCGCCTGATTGAACCCCCCAATCGTCGGTCGTCGCTTTTAGTGTCAATCGACATTTCATCCAACTTCCGACAAGTCTCAACACCGAAAACCACTCTCAAGACCACCAATAGCATTGTCGACCTCCCCCCACCAAAACCCCCAACATTTCTGATTGCAATTGCCCACCGATGGCCATCACCTCTCCCTTAGGTTTTTGCATTTTTTAACCCCTTTCCAGCCAAATTCCGACACCTCACCGAGGTGTATTCAGGTGAAAAAGTTAGCGGTTTTAGTGAGGAGGATAAGGGGATGCTGATGGTGATAGTGATGTCGGGGAGATCCAATGGTACCGGAATTAGGTCCGATTTTTGGCTTGGTCGGGATCCTCTGGGGGTTATTTGAGAGAAATTTGAGATGTAGAGATTATTTTGAGAAAAAGTAAAGACATTAATTTAAGGGTGAGAATTATAATTTATGAAACCAGGGGTGGAAACTGAAGATTCGCCAAACCTTGGGTGAGATAATGTCGTTTACTCTTATATTATTTACCTACGGACGTGATTTTTTGTGCTTTTTTTGTTTGTTGGTCTTTATGGAAGACACTGCAAGAATTTTGTTTGTTGGCATAACACGTATGTTATTGGAACATTCAAAGGGCTTTGAAGGATGACGAAGATGCCTGAAATTTTATTTACATATTATTATTATAGATATACCTAACTCTTTAATCTTGATTAATTAATAATTTCTTTTTTTGATGCTAGTTTGGACTATTTTTGATCATATGATATGTATTTAATTGTTTTAGGTAAATTTTCCAGTGGGTTTACTTAAGTACAATTATAGCATAATACAAGGAAGGGCAAAGGCAGTTGTCCAATTAGTCAAATAGATAAATACACAGGTTTAGAAATGAAGATAATACCTTTTATTGGACTTTTGACTTTGTGTTGTAAGAGTCAATTCAATATTAGATGTAATTCGGAAATTTGGATTAGACAAAGTCTATGAAATTGAGGAGGCAAAGTTCCTCTTGAAAGCTTAAAGAGATAAGTTAGTATTAATTATTTAATCATATAAATAATGAGGGAAACATTTCTTCTGAAATTAAACTTACAACAAACCTATCCAATGCCTACTCATATCCGACTCGGCAACTACTTTTCAATTTATTTCAAAGCCAAGTTGGTCATCAGTGGGTACTACTCACCAAATTCTCTTTGTCAACGTTAATCAAATTGATTTAAATTTTAGAAACAATTACGACAATCTATGGCTCCCCCTGAATTAACTGCAGGCTTTGCATGCTTATGTGTCCCTCTTCCCTCCTCCTCACCGCATGCTTAGCGGTGCTTGTACATATTTGACCCTTTCACTAATTTTTTGGCTGGGTAAAAAACATGTTCCCACCCCAGGTTTAGTGAAATGGCAAATTCTCACCCATGTTTTCATAAATCCTAGATTATCGTCCTTAAAGTAAAACTGTTAGTGATTGTTGGATTCTGACATAGATGTAAAGGGTGTCATTTCCAAACTGCTCTCCCATCTTCTTTTTCTTCATCTCTCCTCCTTCGCTATTACCAAAGTCACTCTTCTTCTTCATTGTCGTTAACATTTTGGCTCCCTCCTAGCTAGTTTTTTTCACTAATCACGGCAAGAACTCTTCCCCAACTTTGATTGCACCTTTTCCAACCCCATCTAACCGGATTCCACTGTTTTGCCACACCCACTCCATCATTGCGCAGTTGCCAATCTCAGGCCAAATCAGCTTGATTCTGGCATCATTGGTACCCCCGACCCCACCATCTTCAAGCCTTTAATGCCCCCAACAAAACCCCCAACCTTCTCAACCTTTTGAACCCACCGTCATTGGGCGCTGCCCTTAAGTTTGGTCATGTGAACATTCCCCTTTTTCGATTAATTCCTTCATCAGAAACCTTCCCTAAGACCACCATTCTGTTCACCAGCCAACCCCTACCAAAACCTCCATCATCCTCGACCACGGTAGCTCCCGTTCGCCGACCACCACCTCCACTTAGGGTTTCACGATTTTGTCGATTTATGTGTAAAATTGGAGATTGATTTGTCGTTAATTGGTGTTGGTGTTGATTGATTTTGAAAGTGTGTTGATTGTTTGATTGATTTGCTGTGATTTTGAGTTGTAATTGGTTTTTCCGGCCACCATCACAACTCTTTTCCCCCAACCCTCCATTGTCCATCAGTTGTTTGTTAAATTGCCCAAACAAAACCCCCCTTAGTCTTCGCCCAAACGCACGGGCGCTCTCCTAACTAGGGCTGCAAACGAACCGAACAGTTCGCGAACGTTCATTGTTCGTTCGATTACTGTTCGATAATGTTCGCGAACATTTGTTCGCGAACAGTTCGATATTCGTTCGATAATATGTTCGATCGAGTTCGAACAGGGGTTGTTCGTTCGATTATGTTCGCGAACATTATACGTTCGACTAATCCATCTGTTCGCGAACAATTGTTCGATTGTTCGTTCGTTTATGTTCGAAAAATATGTTATGCATTATTATAATTAAAAAAAAAATTCATTTTTATATTATGTTTGATTTAGTTTGGATGAATTTTTTTTAATCAATAATAAAATATTATGATACTTTTGTTTTTCTTATATATATAATATGGNATGGCTGCTGCTGTACCGATGTGAAATATGATGATCGTACGATTTAATTTTGTGATAATATTATCTGTCATGTTGTATTATATTGATCATGCGACTACATTTGATCCGTGATTCAATTTGAAATTTGTGGCTGTTATATGATCTTGACTATATTAAGTTTTCAAAATTCTTAAGTCTTGATAAGGGTAGGATATCGTTAACATTCTGAAGTCTTGATAGGGGTAGGATATTCCTTAGAATTCTTAAGTCCTGTCGGGGGTAAGCAAATGATTGAGAGACAGGTTTTGCTCAACCGTAGTCGATTATTATAAAATTTAGTTTAAGTCTTTCATGCTAGGTGCTCATTTTATTCTTTGTATAGCGTATTATTAAAAACATGAAAAACTCAAGAGTCAAAAGCTATATATATATATATTTGTGTGTGTTAAATTACTTCCAAGAACAACTTAACATGTTATCTCAAACTTTTTATACCCAATCCATATCTTCTAAATATAAGAGGGTTTCTAAAATACTCCTAAAAATTAACATTTGATTAATAATTTTAGAAAACCTAAGAAACTAACCCTTTATTTGTTTTAATATTTTGCAAGATGATAAAATCAGAAAATTAGAATAAATATTGACGTTTTCTATTTTAATGAAGGTTTTCATATAATATACCTGAAATATGTGTATCAAAATTCTTACGTCTTGACAGGGTAAGAAAATGGTAGGTGGACGAATTTTGCTCAAATCTTTTTTCACACTCTCAACAAAACCGTGTTTCACACTCTCAACAAAACCGTGTTTCACACTCTGAAGACTGAACAACATGAAAAAGCCTTTGCTTTCAGTCTTTTAGAGCGTCTTGCAAGGCGTCTAAAGAACAAATTGACCTCATATTATTGCATCACCACTGTATTATCAATGCCAAAACAACATACGCCCCTCAACACAAAATGTCAAAGTTTACCACGATTTCACTAACAATCCTACTCTGCAACCTTCTCTTCCTCTTCCATGGCCATGCAAACTCCCAACTGTATAATGAAGAACATGCAGTGCTCATGAAACTAAAGCAACATTGGAAAAATCCACCACCCATCACTCACTGGACCCCATCCAACACCAATCACTGCTCCTGGCCTGAAATCACCTGCACTCGCAATTCCATCACCCGACTTTACCTCAACAACACCAGCATCTCCCAAACAGTCCCATCCTTCATTTGTGACCTTAAAAATCTAACCCTGCTGGACCTGAATTACAACGATATTTCGGGAGAATTTCCAAGAGTTCTCTACAGCTGTTCTAAGCTTGAGTATCTAGACCTCTCTAAGAACTACTTTGTTGGTCCCATACCTGATGATATTGACAGCTTGTCTCAGCTCCGTCACCTCAGTCTAGGCTCCAATAACTTTTCACTCGACATTCCTGCAAGTGTTGGGAACTTAACGGAGCTTCGGGTGCTTCAGCTTTATCGGAATCAGTTCAATGGTTCTTTCCCACCTGAAATTGGCAGTCTGCACAACCTTGAAATATTAGAATTGGCATATAATACAAAATTTGTGCCATCAAAGTTGCCTTCAAATTTCTCGCAACTGAGAAACCTGAAGACTTTGTGGATGACTGAATCAAATTTGATTGGTGAAATTCCTGAATCTATTGGCAATATGACTGCTCTTGAGTGGCTTGATATATCACAAAATCGTTTGAGCGGGAAAATTCCCAGCGGTGTTTTCATGCTGAAGAATTTAAGAATTTTATATCTTTACAGAAACATGTTGTCGGGGCAGATTCCACAGGTTGTTCAGTCATTGAACCTTGACTACCATTGATCTCCAGAGACAATTTGACTGGGACAATACCAACTGATTTGGGAAGCTTGAAATTTGTCAGGCTTGATTTTGATGTTCAATCAATTATTGGAGAAATTCCAGAAAGCATTGGGCGGATTCCAACTTTGAAAGATGTCAGATTGTTTAAAAAACAATTTATCAGGTGCTCTTCCTCTAGACTTTGGTCGATATTCAGCCCTGAAGATTTCGGGGTTCATCCAATAACATTTCAGAAAGCTGCCTGAACACTTGTGTGCTGGTTAAGTTGGTCGGACTAGTAGCTTTGATACAATCTAGTGGAAATTACCTGAATCTCTTGGGAATTGTAACAGTTTGTTAATGATTCATTTACACAATGGTTTTACTGGGAAAATTCCTGTGGGTTATGGACGGCATCAAATTTATCGCATGTGCAGATAGGTGATAATAAGTTTACAGGTGAGCTTCCTGATAAAATGTCAAGGAACTCTCCCTTCTTGAGATCAGCACATATGTTTTCTGGTAAAATTCCGGCTGGAGTGAGGTCTTGGACGATCTGCAAAATTTAATGCCAGTCAACCTTTTTAGCGGCACAGTTCCAAGAGAATTAACTGCTCTTCCTGCTATAACTATTCTTTGGCTCGATCATATCAACTCTCTGGCACCCTTCCATCAGATGTGATCTCTGGAAGAGCTTACTACTTTAAACCTTGGTGGAAATCAGCTCTCTGGAGAAATTCCAGAGGAAATCGTTCTTTACCTGCCTTAATTGTTGGACTTGTCAGAAAACCAATTTTCTGGACAAATCCCACGTCAACTTGGTCTCTTGAGGCTCACCTCCCTCAACCTCTCTCCAACACTCATTGGAGAAATCCCAATGGTTTGAAGTGTTGCTATGCCGTAGCTTCTTGAACAATCCTGGTCTCTGCGCAGGACTCATTCATAAACCTCAAAATCTGCAGTTTTTCCACCCCAAAAATCAAGAAAATTTTTATCCAAAGAATTCGCGTCGATACTAAGTGCAGTCGTTGCCGTCTTTTTGTTGGCCTTGGTCTTGTTATCCTTCATGTTTAGAGCTTACGGCAAGAGAGAAAATCGACTGAATACTACATCGGATATGAAGATGACTAAATTCCAGGATTTGAATTTCACAGAAAATGATATTCTGACTAAAGTGAAGAAGAAAACTGATTGGAAGTGGTGGTTCTGGAGAAGTGTACCGTGTTCCTGTAATAGTTCGGGTGATGTTGTTGCCGTGAAAAATTTGTAATAACCAAAAGTTAGATCAAAAACAGGAGAAACAATTTTTAGCAGAGTTGAGATACTAAGTAATATTAAGCATTCGAACATAGTAAAACTGCTTTGCTTCATTTGCAATGAGAATTTAAAATTTCTGGTGTATGGTATCTGGAAATCATAGCCTGGATCTTTGGCTACATCAAAGAATCAGTCATCAATTCCTTCTGCTCTGCCTCAGTGCATCATCCTTCCTGGACTGCCCAAGGATACAGATTGCAGTGGGGGCGCCCAGGACTTGCTACATGCATCATTACTGCTCCCCGCCCATCGTCCTCGAGATGTGAAATCAAGCAATATCCTGCTGGATTCGGAGTTCAATTCAAAAATAGAGATTTGGTCTAGCTAAGACCTTGATGAAGGACGGAGAACTTGCCACAATGTCATCTGTGGCTGGCTCATGTGGTTCATTGCTCCAGGTGCTGATATGTCTTTCAAATATTGGAGCTACTCGTTTGTAGATAAAGTGAAATTTCATCCTTTACATTAAGCAAAAATTCCAGTTGATCATTTTAACTATTACTTTTTGTGTTTCTAACATGTAGAGTATGCTATACAACGAAAGTGAACGAGAAGACAGACATTTATAGCTTCGGTCATCCTTTTGGAACTGACAACAGGAAGAAAATCTAATGGTGATGAGAACGTGCCTCCCAATTGGGCGTGGCGTTACCTTCAAGAAGGTAATCCTATAATTGACGCTTTGGATGAGGCGATGAGGAAACATTGCACTTGGATGAAATGAGTCGAGTATTTAAACTTGGCATCCATTGTACAAGCACGCAACCTTCTGATAGGCCCAACATGAGGACTGTTTGCAAGTCTTACTCAACTGTCTTCTTATTCCAGAAAGAAGAATGCAGCAAGTAAACCGATACGTTTCCAGTCCTTACACATTCAGAACAGGAGACGATGTCAAAATGTGATGATGCTGTTGTGAATCTAATGTGATTTTAATGGCTTGATTTTCTGAATAATGAGTTGTGTCAGTTTGTTTCCATTAGTTAAAGATGTATTCATAAGCTTAGTTACTATTTGTATAATGTCAAGGTCAAGGGTATTTACACCCTATGGTGGCTTTGGTTTCGCAGTCATATAAGATTACTCCGGTAATCTCCGTTTAATTTTGGTTTGCAGTGATATAGATTACTTTGGAATCTTCGTTTATTTTCAAGATTCTCTTGTTTGGTTTTCAAGTAATAAATATTACAGTAATCTTTTGTTGTAAATGTATTTACTGTTGGTAATATAGGGTAATCAGATTATCTTGCTAGGGGGTTATTAAAAATTATCTAAGTAATCTTATTTTTATCATATTTTGCCCCTAATTAATATCATCTCAGACACATTGTTTTCAATGTCTACCCAATAACCACTACCAAAACCCTTACATTTGAGAATTTAGTTAAAACACCCCCTACAAAAAGTTTAAAAGTTAACAAAATATCTCCAACCACCCAAGACCACCATCGATCTGGCTATTTCCAACCTTCATCTGGCCGAAAATAGCCAGATCACGACCACATCTTTGGCGGTGAAACAGCCTTACCAGTGCACGACCAGCTAAATCCAACTGATTGTGCCCATTCCGACGACTGTCAGCAACATCGGTGATGGTGGCTGGTTGACGACAATGGCTTGGGGTAGGTGGGGGTGATTTTGCTACAAATTAAAGTTTTGTATTCACTCATTACCTCCAACTAAACATATCATATAACATAATCATCAATTTATTCCAACCTAACCAAATACGTTTCTCTACATTCTCAATAATCTTCAAGATTATCTATTTTTCCATTAATATAACATTCCCATAATACAACATTCACTTAACCAACACACTACTAAAGCCAAGGATTTTCATTTTAGAGGCTTCTCAACCTTTCCGACACAGTAAGAATTAAGAAATGAATATTTAATGACTTCGGTAAGCATCCGAGTGATAATTTAACGTTCTTAGTTGAGTATTCATACTTCAACCCTCCGCAATACCCAAACAGAAGTTAAAGAGTTTGAAACGATGGATGAAAACTACGTCAGTGATGTAATCTTTTCATGCTCAGCTCAGCTAGAATTAGGACCTCAAAGTTGTAATCACAGCGCTAGCCATAACCTTGATGAACGTACCCTAGTTTGTGAGAAAGGAATTCGGCCAGATGGGTTCCTCATAATCAGTAGGCACAAATGACCAGCAAAAAAGAGTCAGTTCAGACTGTAACATCCACAATCCTCAAATAATTTTATTACCCTGAAAGGAGAACAAAGAGTTTTGTTGCATGCCGCGAAGCCCTTGCCCCAAAAGGAAATAGAAAGAAAAATCATTCTTTAGATTGCACAAAAGTCGAAACAAGCTGCAACTGCCAAAAGTATCCTGTTCAAAGAGAGAATTTCCGCCAAAAGTAACAACTCAAAAAGAAGAGTTTACATCTCCCATTTATCTTTAATTGGGGAGAAATCATTATACACTTGTGTACCAACATAGTTCCCAGCCTTTGGAGAGAAAAAAAAAAAAAAAAAAAAAAAAAAGGGGGGGGAATAAAGCAGAAGACAGGCCACAGCCTGAAGCTAGCAGCCACGACTGGGTACCCTGATTGCACATTCGATCCATTATTATACACGCCATATGACCATAAATTAGGGTGTCTAGCGTGATGGGTTGTAAAAAAGCTCAAATAAAGCGCAGAGAGAAAATAACTGCAAATGTACAAGTTAAATTGTTGAAAATCCTCATCACCACCAAGGTATTGGGAGTGAGAGGCTGCAAGGAGTGCAGCTCCGATGCCAGAAACCGTCATTTGAGTGCCAATGTTGATGTTCTCAGAGACTTCCTCTCCCAGCATCTCCTTGACCGTGCTCTTCATGCAAGCACTGAATTTCGTGTAGTGCTCATACAACCCGCCATCTAAAGCTATTACTGACTTCTGCTTTTCCCATCTTTCACTGTGTCTCTGCCTAATTTCTTCAGGATACCAACAATGCCTGCGGCAGATAAACGGGCACCGCGAGTTGCAACAATGTCACAGAGGGCCACAATAACTTTTCCTTTTCAGGGAGGTATTGGGTATCTGACACATGAAGAAAACAAAAAGTAACTATAAGACAACCCATATTTTTTCTACTAATATGATTAAGTTCTAATGGTGATCACTGTGCTCTTGGTTATCTTGTTTGAAGCAATATTTTCTTACATAAAATAAAACAATAAAAATAGATATGGGAAGCTTTCACTTGAAACCGAGAGTTTTTAAGTTCTTGGCTTATTATCTGATCCAAACAAAAAAGTTTTCCAGAGAAGAGAAATATAAAAAATAACCAATAGGCTAGAAAATAATTTTCCTGGGCTTTCGTCCAACATATTGACAGGTATAAACCTCAATATATCCTTTAATTTTTTCCCAACCACTCTCAAATCTGAAGATGTATCATGATGCATTGCAGACATGTCTGAGTCCTGCATGTTCCATATAAAAATGTAACAGCTACAGAAGCACACATATAAATGACAAATCAATGGTGTATACTATTTCTAACAGGAAAAAATTAATTCTACAATGCATATACCTGAATAAAAGACGCTAAAGATCACGCATTCCTACCACATGATTAAGCATGTAGCTGAAAATACATTCATTAACAGCCACAAATTGAGTATAAATGCAACATTATAATACATTGTAACCTATTTAATTCTAAGAATAATATGTTAATCTAGAATATTCTGAATGCCAAGAGCCATAGAACAAGTTTGTTGTGCAGTTAGAGGTTACATATCAATGTAGTGATGTTTTCTTATATGATTGCAGTGGACTTTTCTTCATAAATTAACAACTTATTATGAAAATGAAAGACAAGTTTTGACTGTTAAGTAACCATTAATTCTAAAAAATTAAGCTTCTAAGAAATGACAACATTAGTATCTAAGCCTGATCAAGTTATTCCATACCAGAACTGAATTAATTATTGACTCATCATGCAGATGCTAACAGCACAAACACAAGTAATCCAATAGAGGAAATACATGACCAAAAGAAGGTATATAAATTTGAATAGAAAGAGATATGATAGCAGATAACCCACAAACAAATGGCACACCTCAATATGAATGGAATTTTCAGTTTTGGTGGACAGTATCACCAAAAAAAGCAGCTTCTCAGCCATCTGGCACAAAACTACTCGCGCACAATTTCTCCCAAATACATCCAGAGATCACTTTTTCAAAAACTGCAAGTAACAGTCATGATGTTATGGCCCATTCCCCTATATATGCATGATAATCTCAAACCAGAAAAGGAAAGAAAATATAGCTACCTGTTCTCCAGGGTTCAAGCTTTCGACATCCAATGCTTGATCATATTCTGTTAGCGGAAGGTGCCGATGACCGGAAGTTACCCCACTCCATGTTGATAACCTATAGTAATCAACATTCTTTAGAAACAGAACATAGTCACCATGAAATGATGATATTAGTTCAAAACACATGAAATGTACAACAAACATTTGAGAAGTCTAACCTTTCCCCTGATTTAGGTAGAAGACCAGCCACTTAGGAATAGCATGTGCTCGTTCTACATATGCTGCATTTTCAGTGCCCAAGATTACGGCAGAAACCACATCCTGATTTGAGTATCTACCCAGCTAATGTTCCAATAGTATCATTGACCTGCTCTCACAGTATTTAAGAAACCCACACAACCAAGGAGACATTTGAAATAAGAAAAAATCTAAATGCAATATTAAAAGAACATTACTCAGAGAAGAGAAGAAGCGAAGAACCGAACCAAACTGGACTTACCAAAGCTGCAACACGCATATCAAGACCAGCTCTTTCCATTGCTTAGTTAATTCTCCAACTACCAGCTTGTCCAACCTACAAGAGCCAAGATGGACACAAAAATATCTAAGTTCAAATATATATTAGACACATTGAAAGTTGATAAATTAATTACAGCCAAGCAATAGAAACTATATCTATCATATCAGGCTGAAATTGACTGATGCATTTCAGACCAGCAATATCGGATTTCATTGCCACAGATATTATGAAAATTGCCTACCTACACGAAACCTTAGCATATTTCAAACATTCAGGGAATAGTATTAGAAATAAAACAAACAACCATGTAGTCTTATTACCCACATACCCAAAACCCTCTCTGAAGTTAACACTTAATTGCATGGCTACTACATACATTTCCATGTGAGGCCCCATCTACTACTTTCATGAGGGTCCAAAACTCCACCAGCACAAATAGAGATTCCAATAAACAAAAATAGTTATAGCAATTGCAGTGGTGTGAGTTGCCAATGACTGACACATCTATACACAGGATGACACTTATAAGCCAGTTC